GACTATGTTGGGAGCAGTCTTTAGAAGTTCTGCTTTCGTGAACCAGCGGTCGTCTTCTGGTTCTTGATAGGCAAACCGGACTTTATACTGTTTTTGGGGATGACCTCTACCTCCTGTCCTAAACACATCCTCTTCTACAATGTCGTCTATGTCATAGCTCCCATCCATATCCGGTGGGATCATGGATCTCCTGGAAGGGAACTGTTGACTAGTGACACACGGCAGTAGCTTTGAAGCATGGAACACTGGGTATGTGTGGAGGTGTGCTGGAATCTCAATGCTTAGGTCGGTCCATCCGCTCCGCCCTTGACTTCCAGAACCGGCCACGGTCCTCTATATGCAGGTAGTAACTTCTGCGAGATGTTTTCTTCCGGTGCAAACTCTTTTGCCTTGACCCAGACTAATACTTGAAACTGTGATGGGCGACGGTGCTTGTTAGCCTGCTCTATCATTCTGTGCTGGGCCTTCCGAAGGTTCTCAACAACAGTGGCTAACTCCTTTTCGTGCTGTATCGCAAACTCCCTGGTACCAGGCGGTAATCTGTGAATCTGATCCCGGTTCAGTCCTTCGAACGGTCTGCTCGGTCTAAAGGACTTGTGCAACTCATTGGGAGTGCGGCAGATGGATAGATGCACGCTGTTGTTGTATGCACTAGCTACCTTAGGCAACATCTCATCCCAGTTAATTTGATCTGGTCTAATGTACATGCGCAGAACTTGCTGTAGGATCTTGTTCATCTGTTCTGTCTGACCGTTAGTCTCTGGGTGACGGCCAGACGACATTAACAACTTAGATCCGTAGACTCTCATGAGTTCTTGCCAGTTCTGGCTGGTGAAACGACTGTCTCTATCACTAACTATTGACAATGGGATTCCATTCTCACTAATCCAAAAGTCAAAGAACTTCTGTATTACTAAATCTGTACGGGCCTCTGCAGGCAAGGGAACAAAAACTGCATACTTACTGAAACGGTCAACTATGACCATGACTTGGCTCTTACCATGTCTACTCTTGACTTGGGTGTCCATGAAGTCTATGGACACTGAGTCTCCCGGCTGATCCGGAATAGGCAACGGTCTGAGAAGACCTAGGGGCGCGCGTGTAGTAGACTTATTCCTCTGGCACACTTTACAACTGCGGACATACTCTATGCAGTCATTCTTCATCCCTGGCCAGGTATATGCACGCATCAGGTTGGCTAATATCTTTTGCCAACTGAAATGCCCTTCAGTATCGTGGCATTCCCGTAAAATCAAACTGCGGATCTCTTCGCTGTTGGAACGCACAGGCGGTCAAACACATTAGTCTTCTCAAACAGCAACCCGTCTGTAGTGCGGTAGTCTGGTTCAGTCTCTGGGGCCTCTCTAACTCTCTTTAGGAGGTCGCTATAGATAGGGTCCTGCGCATATGCTTGCCTCACTTTCTCCTGCAGGTCTCTCCCTATATCCAGATAGTGTACTACAGCTCCAAAGTAGTCAGATCTCCTACTCAGAGCATCCGCAACTACGTTGTACTTGCCCTTTACTGGCTTAAGCTCAAAGTCGAATTGGTCTATCTCTGCGGCCCACTTGGTCAACTTAGGTGTCATCTTGGCCTGGGTCTTCAACCATCTAAGCGTTTCATGGTCCGAATAGACTTTGAAGTGCCTCCCAAGCAAATAGTGCTTCCAATGGTCTAAAGCCTGCCTGAGAGCGTAGAGTTCTCTTTCGTACGTGGAGTCAGCAACCTTCTCACAGGGCATCCTTGCTGACATGAACTCTACGGGTCTATAGCCATTGCCGTCATCTTGCTGCAACACGACGCCTATCCCATACTGACTCGCGTCCGTGGTGACGACAAATGGCAAAGACGGATCTGCAACCTTGAGGACAAGATACTCTATTAACGCGCGCTTTAGCTTCTTGAGCGCAGACGTACAGTCTTTGTCCCATTGCCAGATTGCCTCTTTCTTCAGCAATCGGCGCAAGGGAGCGGCGATAGTGGAGAAGTTCCTCACGAACTTCCTATAGTAGTTAGCTAAGCCTATGAACGACCGCAACTCTGTCAATGTGCGGGGCGTCGGGCAATCTCTGATTGCCGCGATCTTGCTGTCCTCTGGCTTAATGCCATCTCCGTCCAACACGTGGCCCAAGTATAAGACTTGCGTCTTGGCCCACTCACACTTCTTCGCGTTGATCTTGAAGTTAGCCTCTCTAAGCTTCTCCAAGACCTGCCTCAAATGACCCTGGTGCTCCTGGAGGGTCTTACTAAAGACTAGGATATCATCTAAGTAGACTACTACAAA